CCCAGTTCACTGGCTTGTTGTGCTCTGCTGCAGCTGCGACACAGTGTCTTGTGTTAAGACCATTGACATGGTAGTGTTTGAGTTTAGGAAGAATACTTGTCATTCACTCTTCAGTCCCAGATCTTTCCATCCTGACCAGTTAACCTTTAGGTGATCACCAGCCCCAGTAATCATGGGCTTAATCAATCATAATCATTGCCTGGTATGGAACAAAATGGCCTTCAGATAACCATTTCTTCTCCACTGATATGGAACCCTCGCAGTCTGTTTATAGTTAGCACTGGTGAATAGAACACATGAAATCTCAAACCTCTCACCACAGCCGCTTCCATAAAGGTCGTCTGAAGTCAGAGACTCCTAACAAACAGCACATGCTTCCTGTTTTAGTGAGACATCTCTCTTTGTTTTTTTACTCTGTGGTTTGTTCTTCCAACCTAAGAGAAGGACTGATGCGTACGGAAAATGTCCTCCTACAGCAGGGTCAGCTCTGCATTATTACAAGACTGCGAGAATGTTCAGGTTACATGAGAATAGATAAGATAATAGTAGCAGGTAATGTAATGTCATGCAACTTAAAAAGTCATGTGGAGGCAAAGTCTATCTTTTTGACATGAGAACTGACTGAGAGTGTGGAAAAACTGGACAGCTCTTCCTTTTTCATGATCATCCTGTAGGGCCTTTTCAGCAATTCTCCTGTCGCTGTCTTCTAAAATGTACATTTACTCTATCTTATCTACATTTTCTTTTTCTGTTTTGCTTTTATTTGTATTTAAAATTGTATAATGTATTGGTTTTTTTTTATATATATGATGCTTCAGTATAAGGCAGTGGTCCCCAACCCCCGGGCCGCGGACCGGTACCGGTCCGTGGATCCATTGGTACCGGGCCGTACAAGAAATTATTAATTATTTCCGTTTTATTTATTATCTGAGTCTGAACGATCTTTTATTTTGAAAAATGACCGTATTCTCTCTGTTACATCTCGGTCACTTGAGCGCCAAAACTGGCTTACTTGTGCGACTTATTCAGCCTGCTCAATGAACTCAATCTGTCACTTCGGGGGAAAATGACAACTGTCTTCAAGTTGGCAGATAAAGTAGTTGCATTTAAAGCCAAACTGGATTTGTGGGGACGGCGCGTCAACAGCGGCATTTTGGACATGTTTCAAACATTAGCGGGGATTTTGGGTGAGACTGAGCCTGAGCCTTCATTCTCCCAGCTGGTGCACGATCACCTGTCTTTGCTTTTAAAAGAGTTCGAGCGCTACTTCCCAACCACAAAGGACCCACGAACTGCCAAGGAATGGATCCGCAACCCATTTGTCAACAAACCAGGTGAATCCAGCATGTCTGTGCAAGAAGAAGATCAACTGCTGGAGATCGCAAATGACGGCGGCCTTAAAAGTATGTTCGAGACAACAACTCTGTCGGTGTTCTGGATTAAAGTCATGACAGAATACCCCGAGATCGCCACCAGAGCACGTTATGTTATGTTGTTGGCGCAATGTTATGAGGAAGCTGCTAATAAAGTTGCATACAAGTACACAGTGGATTCACATTAATTATTATATTTACAATATAAACAATCTACGAAACACCCCCCCGCCCGGGCCGCAGCAAAATTGTCAAGCGTTGACCGGTCCGCAGTGATAAAAAGGTTGGGGACCACTGACCTAGACAACAACCCGTCAATATTGAAAGAGAGAAGGCATTTTAGATAACTCAACAATGGTATCCTCCCTTGGATTCCTTTTATTGTGGGACCTTTCATGATACAATAAAGATATTCTGTCAAAACCCATTTCCAAAAAAAAAAAAAAAAACAAGAACAAAACATGTCTTTTTACCACAGATGTGATTTTTATTACCTCTTTGTTTTAACGTTTGTTTAGAGTTGCTTTGGGGTGGAGATGACTAAATGCAAAATTTGTAATGTCAGTATTATTACTGTTATACGCTCCTCATTTCCACAGATTTTATTGAGAGGAAAATTAAAGGAATTTGTTTCTAAATTTTCAATTATACATTTTTTTTCTGAGGCACTTCTAGCGGTGGGAGTTTTAGAACCGGTTCTATACTGTCCATCAGAATTGGACACTGTCTATAAGCAATGGTGGAAACACCAGCATTGTGCTGAAACATCTTTACATGCAACATAGACTAAACCTGCAGGACTGTCATGTATTTGACACTTTACGATGGGTGCCACCACTTCCCACCCAAGCAGCATGTCCCTTAGCAAGGGTAACTATCCTATGTTATAATAACATTAGCACCATACAGACAGCCTTAGAAGATTTTCTTTGACTAAGAAAGGCTAAATGAAAGTTAATGCTGTACACGTTCTCTCATTTCATCCATTTTAGAGAATTACAGCAAACAGACTGTCACTACAAATACAGTACCTCTGAGGCTACAGCTTGCTGCTCAACTCGCCCATCAACTCCCAGCCTCATAAGTGCAAAGAAAAACATAAACATAAAAAAAAACTAAGAGACAGGAATAAAAGGTCAGAAACATAACTACAGAGAAGTTACATTGCAGTGGTAACTTGTAAGTTTCCCCAAATGCAACACAGACAGACAGACATGGTCACGCTGATTTTTCTAAAGAACAATTTCATTTATCAGTTTTATATTTGTTTTCAGGGATCATTAAAGGTCCAATAAAGGATCGGACCAATAAGTAGAATCGATAATGGCACTGATGTCAATAAAATGTTATCAGTTCCCATCTGTAGACAGCTCCTGTCATTTAAGGCAAACGGTCACTGAAGAATTTTTCTGATCTTCTAACAGAATCAATCATTTTGTATGCTGTCTTTTTTTTTTTTTTTTTTTTAAGTGTGCCTTGGTACCATGGACATTGGGAATCGGTTAGAGAAGAGCAGCTGAAGGTAAGGAGCTTTTAAGAAAGAGTTGCTGGATTGTTGAGAACATTCTTGAGGCCCCTTTCCCCTCTTTTGGAGAAGCCCAGGCAGATAAAAGGAAACACTCGGGCGGATTAAAGTGTTCAGAATGTATCAGCATCAAACCACTAGAGTTTTTGCCCTCTACATTTTTCAAGCACAGTCAATAGATCTAAATATTTTACTGTGCCCTGGCCAATTTATTGTTTGATGTTTAAAAACTTGTGCGGAATGAAAGAAAATTCATTAAAGAAGAAGGCCCCAGAACGAGAGCCTACGATCAGCTTTGAAAGTCTAGTTTAACTGGGATATTGATCATTCTCTTTCTTGTGTGACAAAGGCCACCAGGGACGCTGGAGGTGTCGGTGGATGAAGGCGCGCTGCCAAATAACACTAGATGTGTGTGTATACTCTATAGGTGAGGCTGGGAATTCCCCTACCGACACCGAAAAAAAATCCAATAACTCAAAAATGACCAAACAAGCATCACATTCTTGATTTCTTGCTGGTCAAAAGAAGACTCAGCATCCATTCTGGTTTGGATACAATAATGTGCAGGGTTTTTGATTTTTCAAATGCCTGATTATGACAATCCTTCGAGCTGCAGATCACAAAATGCCCCATGTCTTGTCACTGAGTAGAAGAAGCACTTCCATTACTAAAAACTATTTTGTATAAGAAACCAATTCACAAGTTCTACTTTTCGGGTGATTTTCATCACATTAGTTGCCCAATCAATGTGAGTCCAAGGGTAAATTTTAACACATTCATACTGGCTATACTGCAGGTGAAGCTACACATCAATAATGATCTGCAGTCTTTAAAAATTCTTCACTAACAAAATGTAAAAATATGAGGGCGATGTCTCATGATGGGAAACTAGTAAAAAGGCTTAATGACAAGCTACAGACATTAGATATTTCTGGCAGACACGTATGGTGGTATCAGTAATCACAGAAATCTTATTTTAGAGAAATTCAGAATGGAAAAATTAAATTTCATCTGCTTCAGTTATGCAAGCTTATGCACGGTCGCTCCTAAATATCTGGGAATTTTCTTGACATCAAGAGAAAAGCTATCCAGACCATACCTAATTAAATGTTTGGAATATGTAGGGCATGGATCTCTTTACCCTGACCTTCAAAACATTACACAAGCATGATGCAAAATATAAAAATGTCTGCTTTTCAAATTAAGAGCTTTTCAGACTGCACTGAATTGAATGGGAAAATGTATCCAAACTTCTGAGTGGTAGTGTAGATTTTAAAAAGTAGCTGCAAAAGCAGTTGTTTCCCCCTGATCTTGCAAAATGAGGCACTGAATCACTTTTTGGCACAGCTGTGACTATGAGGCATGTTAGTCTAAATACAAACATAGCTCCTCGCTTTCCAAGCACCAGTTGCTGATTTCAATCTGATATATTACCCTGCAATCACAGATCTGATCATGATATTTGTGTTTAAGTGTGGCTATAATTGCTTCAAGCCTACATCTTTCACAGTCTGAACTGGACTGGAAAGATTTCAGCAGGGTCCCTCTGCATCCTCAGTCTCTGGTTTCCTTAATGTCTCTCCTGAACATCTGTCCCCTCCTCTGCCTTATCTACCATGAAGTGGGATTAGCAGCCTGCAGTTGAATGAGCAACAGTCTGTAAACATGGAGTATATAAATACATTACCAGAGGTGAAACAGGTCCTTACATTCAAATGCAGTCAGAAAGGCAGATCTGCTTGGCCATTAACTCCCAGGACCAATCCAAACCTCTGAGGATGCTGTTTCTTCCATGGCACTTGGAAGAAGCTGAATAAAGACAGGAGTATGATGCATGTTAGTATCTCTGTGGTTAGTACCATGTTGGTCCAAGCAAAATCAGGTGACTGAACTACATGACTCTGACTCTTAACAATATCACCAGTTGCTGAGCTGCTGACACATTTGGCATAGAGGGAAATAAATGTTGATCAATTATTCTACCACACTGCTGCTACTGAGCAGGTAGCGCTTACAACATACATACTGTATTATGATCATGAAAACGTAACAGACACCAAGAACACATTGTTTGTAGAATTAGCACTACACAGACACATTTTAAATCATTACTTTAACAGTAAACTGTTTCTCATTCTGCATTTTATTCATATGGTGTGACCCAATTTATTACGAGTTTAAATCACATAGTGCTTTGAAAAATGTGCAAACTGTGTTATCACCAAAAAGTTGCCAGTTGTCTTTTGTTTTTACTGAATATACCCTTGTTTCTTCAGTGCATCAGTGAAAATATCTACCAGCACTCTGTCTTTCTTTCCAAGTGTGTAACTCTCCTTTGAAAAGACACAGGACCCAGCAGGAGGGGAGATGTGATGTTCTCTCTTTTTACTGACTGACATGGCTGATGAGGGCCCATCCTGCACTTTGGCAGGAGGGTAGGCAGGCATGTGGAGGTGGCGCCCACCAGGGTGCGATGATGGGACAACACAGTCGTCCTTCATAGATATTCCATTCGTGGCTTTACCCTCAGCTGCCCTGTCAAGGTCTGTGTAAACCCCTCTGAGGGGGCTGAGACAGGGTCATGGATGACACCTGCCTCTAAGCCAGACGTGACAGCACAGCTGGGCCGCTTAATGACAGAGGGGCCTGGCCCAGCACACACCTGCCCATCCTGGGCAGGGCAGGCGAGCTCACGGGGAGAAAAAGGAGCCGCTGCCATGTTCGACGGGCAGATGTTCTTTAGAGGAGACAGCTGCACTACAGGGACCCCTCCGTTTCTCTCCTACTCCAGTAATTGAAAATCATGTAAAAGGTCAATTGTGTGAAACTGGCTGTCCCTCTTTGCAAGTTGTTCCTTTCAGCCAGAACATGACAAAAACAACACTGACTGGATGACAGCTTTTGCCTCAATTACTGCCTATTTAGCAATGGATGTCCATGTAATGACAATACATGTACACATTCCCAGTGAATAAATCTGCATAGACAAAGAGGTACAGGCCATCTGCTGGAGGCCATGGACAGGGGTCCCTGAGAGAAAGCTAATCATTGAGTACATTACACAGACACTGTTATGACATTTGGACTCCAAATGAAGGAGAATGGAAATAACACCAATTCAAAATTCAACTGTAGTGAACAGCAGGCCAACAGCCTCTGTGTAAAGAGCCTACTGTGGTACAGAGGGCCGGTGCCTGTCCTGAATACTGACATCGAGTGACCCTCTCTCTGGGTTTCACTTTGATGAGAAGTGGCAAGGTTCTAACCTCCCCAGGATTGCTCTGTGTTTGTGGTTGTGTTAAACAGAACCAGCTACAGAACTGTCACACACCATCAGCCTCTCTGGAATTCAGCAGAGATTTATAGACCATCATAGAGAGACTAATGATCAAAATAGACAACGAGGACTCATCCAGTAAGAAATGACATCAACTTTGGCCACTTCTGAGTGAAATTTGGTTGTTGACATTTTAGTACTAAAATCTTGGCACCATCTCTAAAGAGTTTTGTTTTTTGTTTTTTTTACTTGACCTAGATAAATATGACTTTTATGAGAACTGGAAACAATACAAACAATACAGGTTTAGGTGCTCAGACTGTGAAATACAGTATTTAAAGAGTGTGTGTCAGTGTTGCACTGGTCAGTACAAGTGTGACATATCATACATTTTTTCGATAATTTAAAGGTTTGAAAAAGTTGTTACTTTTAATGAGAAACATGTTAGGGCTCACAAACCACAAACATGTGGCTTTGGGGGAACTTAAAATTTTAACAAAAACAAGTGCTGTGACTTGAGTACCAGCACAAACAGGAAGGAAACAATATATTCCATAAACTCCCCCAAAATGAGAATGTTATCAATAACACTTGTGTCTGCAGGAAAAACAAAACTAAGCTCTTCAAGATGCAGGTTTCTGGTTTGACTGACCGTAGCCCTTTCCCAATAACATTGTTACCCGCAATCACGATCCAAACCACACACCTTTGGCACAGTGCACTGTCACAAATTATGTTTTGATTCTGACCAAATGCAACAGCTTCCTGTCTGGTGCTGTTTTCTCTTACTGTCTGTTTTTCTAATCTTGAACCAAAAGCAAACTAAAAGATGCTGTTTTGCTTTGCGAAGGCCATTTAGTAACAAATCAAAAGTGCTGGAGAGCACAGATGACAAACCTGGAAACATATATCCTCACCAACAAAACAATGACTATCTGGAATTTCAGAGACAAACACTATCTCTGCTCATTAAACTATTAAACTCAATGAAAACCTTTTTCAGACATCCATCGTGGACTCTACTCCTAATTGTCTCTCATTTCTAGAAAACAAATACAACACTTATTTATAATCTCTCCTAAAATAACTGAGCCCTCTCAGTTTAAACATGAGTCTGACTGTCTGTGTGTGTGTGTAGGCCACTTGTATGAGAGTGTAACTGTACAGCGGCATGTGTGTAGCACAGCAGAATGCACATTTCAAAGGCAAGACAGCTCCTGGGCTTGCTGAACTTTTGCTTGTTATCAGGAGCTGAGAGTGAAATGGAGAGAATTGATCTTTTGTCTACTGGAGGTGCACTCCCTTGGGCTGGGCCGCTCGCTTGCTCACTCGCTTGGCTGCCATGCAGAGGGCTCTCTTTCTCATCCTCCCCCCACCACCATCCCCTTCTTCTCCCCTCTCCATTCACTCACACTCTCTCGCCCTATCTCTGCGTGGCGGCTGCCTCTCCTCCAGCTGACCCTTGTCCCGGCGATACGGGGAAAGATGTGCGCTGAGCTGCTGACATCAGGATTGATCTTCCTCCTTTTCCCCATAAGCTCCATATCAAGCTCCTGGAGACTCCGGAGGAGACAAAGAATGGGCAGAGGGATAGGGATAAAGGGTCGGGCGGCAACCAGAGTCGAGGGGAGAGGAGGGAGGATATTGTCGACTCACATCACCTATTCAAGCTAACAATGTTTGGCGCGGCAAAGGGATAGAGAGCACAAAGCTAACAGTTTTATTAGTGGTGGTGGTAGAAGTTCACTCTTCTTTGCTAAATTGTTGCTTGCAGTGACACCACAACACCATCAACTAGAATTCCTAACGCTACCGACACCAGTTATTTTTTTTTTCCATGAACAAGTTTTAAACAGTTAAGTTCATGTTACAAAATTCCAGGGGGTCACAGGGGTCTGTAAACAACAGACCACAAAATGTGCTTGATTAAAAGAATTGCCAAGACCATCACACCACATTTTTGTGTGTGCTGAGACATCTGTGGAAGTCAAACTGGTAGATCACTGCATCCAGGAGATCATTTTGACGTAACACTTACACATAAGACAAACATAATCAGTGTAGTAGTGAACTTTCAGCGTTGTTTATCTTAAAATTTATTTCTTCTGTCTTGATTCTACTTAAGGAAAATGTTAATTATGTTCATGTAACAAAGTTTTAAAAAATGGAAATCAGAATGATGCTGACAGGGCAAAAAAATTTAACATTTAATGAAACTGTACATTGTACAGTCTTCAGTGCAAACATTTAATAACCTTATTTTTGGCACTATGCATTTAATCAGCAATTAAGTCACAGTTGAGACGCCAAGATTCACTAAAGCAAGTCCTAATACAGAACACATTTTTTAAATCTGTGGTCTTGTTTACATTATGTGCTGCTTTTCAGAAAAGCTTCCATTCAAAGGCATTGCAATAACTGTGTTATGTGTACATTTAAAATCTGTCTGGTGCTTACACACTTCATGGGCATTGTCTATGAGAGGAAAGTAAACAAAATTAAAAGCTTTTTATTGGCAATAAAACAAAGCTAATGGTACTTTAAACTCTGAAAATTTCTAACCTCAGACTGATTATGACTGTATCTTGTACTTCAGAACTGTGCTTCATTTGAAAGGCATGACGAGCACTACATCTCACTTAATGCAATAATTACAAGTTTAACTCCATATAGCCTAATTTTTTAGGAATAAATGAAGCTTTGCAATAAAGGCCATACAGATCTAGGCAAGCAAATGCCTACTTTTTACCCCTTTTCAATAAAATCAACTTAAGTAATTAACTACTTAATTTCTACTACAGTATGACTAGATCCTCATTAGAGGTCATGAGTAAATTACAATAACACATTCATAGTTTTTAACTTCTGTCACACTGCATTTAGTGTTGTTCTTTGTGATGATGACTGACAAAATAATGAAATGTAATTTAAAACTTTTTAACAAAATGCTACACACAGCTGACTGAACCAAAATGATAAAACAGCTGGCACAGTTTTGATTTCCCTTTAAAAGAACAGCAGTGGCTGGTAAATAAGTTACAATTAAAAAATAATGTTGGTCTCAGATTATAAGGTACTGTAAATGAAAAGCACTGGACTACTTATGATTTTTATGTCTGGATTATGCATCAAAACACAGGTTACACAGTCATCAGCTACAGTATATTGGCAAATTTGTTTCTGTTCTAAAAAAATACAGCTGTCCTTGAGAAAGTAGGGGGAAAATGCAAAATACCCAATCTTGCAAAGTTCACAGATATCTGTTAACAGATTTTCCAATACTGAAGCAACAATCAGCAGTTATTTATTCAGTAGTTTGATCAAACATAAAGCACACCCAGTGTGGTGCACTCATACAGTAAAGGATGTAATCTCTGTGGCATCTGAGTGGATTTAACTGGGGATCTATACAGTTATTACTGTGGCATTGTGAGGCGAGCAGACTTTGGAGAAAGGTCCAGGGTGATGGAGGGTGGGGCAGATGGGGAAAGTCTTGCTGTAAATATGATAATTTGCGGGTTAGCCAATCTGAGAAGGCTGGATGGCCTGATACCCTTGGTAAGCATCTAAGGGTAGCAGAGAGCTGAGTAGAGCAGGGCAGAGCCGTGCAGGAGGAAGATGAATCAAGTTTAATAACAAAAGGTTCTAATCGCCCCCATAACCCTGCACCCCCACCTCAGAGCTGAACTCTAATTACGATGAGAACACAGTGCACTGTCACCCAATATTAAATTGTTGAAGAGTGAGCAGAGATAATCGATAAACACTTTAGTCATCGGGGGGGGGGAACCGAGAGAAAAGAGAAAATGAAAAAAATAAGATGCCTCTTCCGTTCAGTAAGAACCAGCAGCACCCAAAGCCCTCTTGGCTCATGAGAACGCCATTGGGACAGTCCAAGATGATTGCAGAACAATAATCCTGAGCACACCTTCCCCACACAGTCATGCAAGCGCACACACACACGTACCCCTAACACTCACTCACACACACGCATACATTTATACAAGTGTACAGCACAATATAGAGCCCCCACCTTCCCCATGGGCTGCCTGAGCACCCGTGCATGAGAGGAAAGGTGAACACGGTCACCCTAATTACAGGGGCCCCAGCTCTCTCACACACTAACACACACTCACCAGGCATTACTAAAGATGGGCCAATTAGGGTGAGAGGGAGATAAGGGAAGAAAAGGTTGCTTTAGGTGCGGTTATCTGAGAAGCACAGCCTTATGATAGTTTCCCCTTAATTCCATGCTGAGCCCTGGCACTGCACTGCAAGGTCTCTCATAATTTGATCTGTTACATATGAAATGGCAGGCTCTGACAGTGAGATCATCAGCAGTGTTTATTGTCTATGTGGTCCTCATTTCAGTTAAACATAAAAGAAGTTGTCACGTAAAGAAGACTCCTTTACTTTTTCGTTTGTTTGATTGTTTTAGTTACTCAAAATAGTGCAGATAAGCTTCCAGTTTATTTGTTAAACAAATTCCACATTAAGAATATTTATCAATGCATTTGCAGATATGATGAGTAGCAGTAGAGGTTATAACTTCTGACTACTGAAGTATAAACCATAGTTAAAAAAAAAAAAAAAAGTTAATCTTTTCCCAGCAGAGGCTTTGTCACAGCAAGAAAAGAACAGGTCTTAATCATAAAACAGTAATGATGGCTCTGTTCTATATTTAGGGTTGCCTCCAGATAATCAAATAATCAAGTCATTAGAATCAGAATCATCTTTATTGGCCAGGTGTTGAACAAACAAGGAATTTCACTCCGGTAAAGTGGCTTTCAATGCGCATGTACAATGCTCTTTTGTAAGGCAAACGATAAACAAGTAAACAAGATAAGAGTGAGATGACAAAAGAAAAAAACTAATGTACAAACAAAATAAAGGAATGTGCATTGGGAAGATTAAAATAGAGTACTTCTAAATATAAAAATATATATGTACACACAGTTTAGATGGAGTTTTTCAGATAGATTATTCAAGAGACTGGTCAGTCGAGCCTTTGTTTTTACTTTATTGTATTTTAGTTTTTCAGCCAGTATGCATTACAGTAAGAGGTAGCCCCAGCCGGTAGTTTGTCAGCCAGTATGCATTACAGTAAGAGGTAGCCCCAGCCGGTAGTTTGTCACCTTTGTCTCATTATGGTGTGCCAAGCAGCAATTTGCTCACTGCTTCCCCCTGTAGAATACCCACTTCAATGGTGACACAAGTCGTTTTTACAGAGATCCTGCACTACAGCCCTTTCAGAGTCACCAATATGCCTCTCTTGTGCTGTTCATATACATTAAGCTAAGGGAGGCATAATTGCGAGCCTGCCTGTAAATTCAGACAACAGGCCGGCATTCCACACTAGAGTCACGACATCGCTGTGCATGAACTGTGATGTAAATTTTGCAGAGATAGTCTGACCCCCTAACCCTAAAGTACCGATTGATTGTCTCAAAGAGCTAGAGGTTCTCGAATCTTATTGTCTCCCCAGCTGGACATCTTTTTCCCTTTCTTTTTGTTGCAGTTGCTTTTAGAAGCTAGACCCAAGGTTATAAGAAAGTATTTGCCTGCTGTTTTTTCCTTCCCTTCCGGTGATAGTGTCGCGCACATATGACATCAAAAATACTGCACTTCCAGATTGCCTGCTCACCCTTTCTACACAGAGAGTATCTCTGCGTATAAATAAATTTATTTTTGGCCGGTCACCAAAATATAGCCGTCCCTGGTAGGCTAGTGGTTAAGGCGCAGCGCTCTCGCCGCTGCGGCCTGGGTGCGAGTCAGGAAGGGCATCCGGCGTAAATGTCAATATGCGAGTCGTCAGTGTGACGACTAGTGTAAATGGGGAAAACCCAAAAGTGACTTTCTATGTTCGTTAGGATAGATATAGACTAGCAGGCTGTAGTTAGAGTCTGTCAAAGTTCTCAAGACCTGGTCTAGAGAAAGTTGGCATTTAAATTTACAACATTTAATTAAATGACCTACTTGGACATGAGGTGACAGGTTTGCATCCTTGCTGCTTAACGTACTAATTTAGGTTAATGATCTAAACTCACCTGTGCTTTCACATGGTTGAAATGTGGCTAATAAGCTTTCTGAAAAGCAGGGACTCCACCGCTGATATTGACTGCACATCCTCCACCACATACACAGCTACAAGTTGCTTTACCTCCTTCAAAGACACCGCTTTTATTGCAGACGGGGGTTGAAGCTCCATCTTATGTTGCGACATAGAGACGTTAGCATTTCTCTTTAGCTATGTAGCATCGCTAACATCCGGGTCTGTCATGGTAATACCTTTCTTCAATGTTGTGCTATGTCGCACTTTACTGCCTTGGCAGAGCTTACATTTTATGTCGCAGTGTTTTGTCCTTTTTCAGCAACAAGTTGAAAATACTGTTAGGTTATTTCTTAGTTAGATAGATATGGATTAGAGATTTGTTGTCTAGGAATGTTAGTGCAGCCAGGATGTCTTCCTCAGGCTGTTAAATGCAAGGTTTGTTAAGGCAGAAGGGCTCAAGTCAGGGACGAATGTTATTATGACGGTAAAAGTAACCATAATATTTGTCTTAATGTGTAATGTTATGTCAAATTGTTTTAGATACACACCACGAAAACAACAGCCACACACATTATTTTCTTCATGTTTGGTCTACTGCTCTGCTCAGCTGCCAAGCTGGCAGATCAGGTGACGTCACGGTTCGACAGCCCAGAAAGAATTAATATTGTATAGCAATGCTTGGTTCGGGGTCTTCCTGTTTCCCGGGCTGCTTTTGGCAGGCTGGGGGTTGGAAGATCTCTGGACTTGAAGTGTAAATTCTTGCCTGTGACTTTTTGAATAAACCAGCACGGATATATTTTTTATATACTCAAGTGGTCTGAGTCGTCCCTCTGAGTTCCTGGTTTGAAAGAACCGGATGAGGCTTTATAATGGTTTTCAGCCTGTAATACTATATATTATATTTCCACTTGAACACCGTGTATGTACTGTCCTTCATTTTTTTCCCCAAAAGTGAGGTTGGGGCCTACTAAGCAGAAACCAGAACGTTTGTTTTGCCCTTGACAGATGAGAAGTTAGAGATTTTTTTTAAAGCCATAATCTGAATGTAGTAACGAGCAAGTAGCCTACTGCACAGAGTAGCTAGTAAAAATATACATATAGAAGGCAGGTACCAGTGCATTATAATACGGCGTTACTATGAAAACTATGAGTACCTATTACGTATCGTGTTATCCCATTTTATACACTGATTATGGGAGAAAAAGTGTCAAACCTGTTGATGATGATAATAATAATTGTTGGTTATGGCCTTATAAGTTACTTTTCATGGATGGATCAAAACTACTTTATGGTAGGTTTTACTACTTTACTGTAGGTTTTACTACTTTACTGTAGGTTTTCTGTGTATTAATTAGAATACAATGTAGGTCTGTTTTTTAGTACTTGAAAAAAGGTAAATAGGATATAGGCCTAATTGCTTTTATTTTCAGCAGATGAGCTCTGAACTAAAATGAAAATGATAGGCCTACTACTTAACTAGTAAAATTTTCTTTTAATCAGATATTAAATGACAGTGTTATCTCATTTCATCTTGAGATTATCAATCAGATCAAACAGGATAGGGTCAGCTATGTGATTAACTGTCCGCTCATTTACACCAAGGGCAATTGTCACTTTTATAAGAAAATATTGAATAAATCCAGTGATTTTCTTTTTATTATTTTTGTTATTTATTATAAGGAAGTTCGTCATACATGTGTCACTGTTTTTTCTAAATATATCAGTGAAATGTTTATTATTCATTGAATAAACAAATGATCATATCGGCCACCTCTACATGAGTCCTGTTTCACATTCTGTCTTTTTGTTTCTTATTATTGTTGTTTGTTTTCAACACTTATTAACGTCTCCTGTCATTTCATACCCTTCTATTTCCTCTTGTTCCTTTCAGCCGCTTCATCAGAAGCAGAATTTCATCCTTTATTAAAGATTAGCTTCACAGAGACTCCCTGTGACATGTTGTCACAGCAAGCCATGTTGGTATCAAAGTGGGTACCCCACTGAGCTTTAGCGCAGAGCTCCCACTTTATTGGCCTTGTAAAGCAGACCACATGTGGCAAGATCTTCAAAAAAAAAAAAAAAAAATCAAGGAAACTCGATCATTTGACAGTTCGCAGCAGGCGGGTTTGTTGCTCATTTCTGAGACCAGTTCTTTGCTGATTCGCCACCATTTTGCAAAGCTCTAGCTGCTTCAAATTGAATTTGCAGATGAAGCTATTAATGATGTAATAATTCAAGCCCCAATTCTTAGTATGCTACTTACTGTGTGATGTTGAGCGATAAAGGGAATAAGATATGACCCTTATAAGTGAGTTGAAGACACAGGGATTAATTTTAATGCAGTATCTTTTACATTTTACATGTGACTAATAGTTGGGTAAACCAGAAGTGTAAAGTTTTGGGGTATTGTCTCAACATAGATCAAAACTCACACAGTAAGTGTCTTTTAAGACTTTGTAAGTAATTTCAAGACATGACAAAAACAGTTTGCAGCACACTGGATTTTTAATAACTCTCAATATCCATCCATCCATCCATTTTCTTCCGCTTATCCGGGACCGGGTCGCGGGGGCAGCAGTCTAAGCAAAGATGCCCAGACCTCCCTCTCTCCAGACACTTCCTCCAGCTCCTCCGGGGGAATGCCGCGGCGTTCCCAGGCCAGCCGAGAGACATAGTCCCTCCAGCGTGTCCTGGGTCTTCCCCGGGGCCTCCTCCCGGTGGGACATGCCTGGAACACCTCTCTAGGAAGGCGCCCAGGAGGCATCCGAAACAGATGCCCGAGCCACCTCAGCTGGCTAACTCTCAATAGTTACAGAAAATTTTGGATTAGCTTTCAGATGACAAACTGCTAAAAAATGGATTAGAAAAGATTTAGAAGAGACATTTAGCTGTAACCATTTGTGAGTTGTGAATTGATTTACTTACCAGAGAGAAGCACTGGGGGAGATTTGAATAATTAATCCAAGTTAAACCCATTAAGAATATCCATGTGGACACTTTTTTGATGTTAAAGACAGTGTATGATCTCAGAGTGCTTTCAAACTATATCTGGCTTTTATTTATGGTGTCTGTTTTCCCCTCAAGCAACAAAGATCAACTGGCTCTTGTGTTAATTCTGTAGAAGTATACAGTACAGAGTTGACCTGCTAGATCCCATGTCAGTGTTTTACAACTCTGCTAGCAGCCTGAGTAAGGTTTCTCTAAAGCTTGTGAATGACTAATTATTCAGTACATCTTGCTCAAAATGCATTTTGTAAATATGTGAAAGAGCTCTGACTGTCAAATGACTTTGAGCCAGTTCAAAGCTTTGAATAATATCCTACTTTTACCTTAAAGGTTTATCAGCTTGATAAAGAGTATCACTTGAAAAAAGCCCATGTGAGACTTGGTTCTTTCTACTTTCTTATTAATTCATATGAAATTAATGTTGTTTACTGATTTTCTGCAAACACATCAGTCCAATCTTCATCCATTTGATAGGTTTCCTCTCTTGGATTTCTCAAAAATATTTATAGGTGATGCAAACCCCAGCAACAACCACAGGGTCAGAACAGGGTTGTGAGATCTCAGAGAAACACAAATCATCAAAAGTCTCTTAGGGTACTCTACTGCGAGTGCCAGACAAAGAGTGTGTATGTGAAATGTAATTCACTACATTGTTTGTCATGGATTGCAAAGAAAAACAACATCTAGCTATCTCTTCCTACACCATACAAGCTGTCAGAACTTTTTTGTTGTTTTTTTTTTTGTTTTGTTTTTTTTTGCTTTTGCCCACTGGTCACTTCATTTTTCAAGGCAGCGGGCTTGTCTAAGCCCACCCACAGTGAGGGTGAGAATCAGACAGGAGGAGGTTTGGCGTGTGAAGCAGGTGAGGCACAGGCTCACCTTTGGGGCTTCACTGTTTTTCCCTTTGCTCTCCAGCAGGACGTCTGCTGGCCCATGGCATATCAGGAGTGTACATTTTAGTTGTCCATCTCCCGCAGTGAGCTTCCACATACTCTCAAAAAACTTGTTAGCTACAAATTACTGCTAGTCAAATGTGTAGCAGAATGCTAGAGCTGGTCCTTTTTCACAAAATCCTGGCTGTGCGTGAATCCAAAAGGGATTAAAGCACCAGTGAGGCAAGCCTTGTGACCTTGTAGTTATTCCTTCAGCAGTTATTAGCCAGGGGCTACAGTGGAAGGCTCTGGAGAGCTTCCCACACAAGAGCGACAGGCCCTGTACTCACAAAACTGCCAGGGAAGCACAATAAAGATAATTAGCAATGAGACCAATAGCCGCCCGTAGCCCCACCACAACCACCACCATCCCCTGGATATCTCATCCCCTTCCTCCTCAAACTGTGCTTAACACACCCCCTCCATTTCATCTCCTCCATTCAACCTCCATCCTATACGCTGTATGTCAGAGCAATATGCATCTCATACATGGTGATTGGTAATGTCTTCTTAGAGGTTTATAGGTTAGTGCTAAAAGAAGAATTCACTGAAATAGTTCCTTATGTGTTTTGCCCCTGGGATCAATGAAGTCTTAGATATGAAGCTTAGCTGGTTATTTTAGCATAAAAACTTAAAAAACACAACTTGTTTTTTTACATTTCAGTTTTTGTATGACTTAAACAAACAACACATAGCGTGTTAATTTGGCATCTTTAGAGATGCTGGTAGGTGGATATGTTACCTTTGGACAGAACCAGACTGGTTGTAGTTTCATGTTTATCAGACGCATGAGAGTGGTGTCAGTCTTTTCACCTAGTGCTCAGCAGCAAATCAAATAACTGTGCTTTCATTTTAAAATAAAAGTGTCCAGTACAGCATACAGTGAACATTAGCAGTAAATAGCAGGCCTCAACACTGAACCCTCAGTCTAGGAAGGAGTAAAAAAAAAAAAAAACAGGATAAAATCAGTTTGAAAAAAAAAAGTTTAACAACCCATTACTGGACCCATGACACTCCACCATTATCTTAGCCCTTCAGCCATGTTACTTCTGTCTGAAAACAAGGTAGTGTAATTTAGAATGCATTTCAGGGCAATTAAAATTTCTCAGGCACAATTATTTATTCCCCCAGAGGGGCTGCCTCAATCAGTTTACGTGTGTAATGGGTTTACGGCCTTGACGCGCCAAACATGTCCTGCCTATCTGCCTCATGCTCTTCTCAAGGCTGTGGTTATTAATTGTGGCTAAAGTTGATAAATAAAATCACCAGTGCTCTTAATGCTAATT